TTTTTTTTGTCTGGCTGCCCAAAATTGTACTTTCAAATAGCTCAAAGACTATAAGTAAGCAGCATACTGACAAGCTGCTTTCAATGTGGTGTTCTATGGTGGACTTTGATAGTGAACACCTTTGATTTACAGACTTGTTTGTTCTCAAAATGAATATTGTAAACAGCTCTGTTGAATTCATTGATCGAAATTGTAATTTCAAATAGTTGGTCCCCGAGTTTCAGTGTACTATTTAAAAGATTCTAGCCACTCCTGCACAATTCTCTGACATTTGGATGTTCTATATGAGGCTTTCTATTTGATCAATACCATTGAAAGGATAGTTGAGTAGAGTTGCTTTTGGTTGGGCTTCACTTGTAAGCCCTACCAAACCCTTAATTTCGAGGACTGGGTCCAGTGCTAAACAAGAGTTAGGAGCATCAAAAAAAACTTTCTCGCTATGCAAGCTTATTCGCTGTGTTTCATTCCCTGATTTCATTCATTGAATCCCTCTTCACTGAAAACAAGTTTGTCCCAGCATTGTAGTTGTTTATTCAGTATACATAGTCGTGGCATCGCTCCCCATGAAAAAGTTCCCTCACAGGTTGTCAGTATACGTGAGTTGTCAGAGTATAAGCACGAGCTTCAGAGAGCTCTTGAGAAGCTCAAAATCAGAATCACGATTATGTCAAATTGAGCAGCAGACGTTGTACTACTCATCAAATTCTACTCATATTCAATCATTAATCATCATTCCTGATAACGATTACTCCCCAGAAGGATTTCACTTGGTACTGCACAATGTTTAGGTCTCGTCTAGTTGCTGTCTGATTGGGATGCTAGCACCACGAACATCGTTGATCATGACAGCAATCGGTCTCCTCTACTACCTTATGTGTCTATTCGTCATCGTTTCCCTATGCAGGTATCGTTTTCAATGAAAATTGAAGAGATTTAGCAACCCGTGAGGTAATAAGCTCCCAAAGGTTTTCGAATTAAGCGTTCACAGCCGTAAATGGTGTGAAACTATGTATTCTCTGACATTTCTCACAGTACTCTGGGAAGATCCTCATACCACTGTTACGAAAGTAAATAATCGTGTTCATGTGAATTGGCGAGTTCAAATGATGTAAGGCTTTAATCCACCCGAAGTCAACCATTTGGTACCGAACCGTGATGAAGAAAGGTTCCGATACTACATACATCGACTGGCCACCATCACTTTTTTACTATTCGTTAATGTGGAGGTAGCGTAACAATACCTTCTCATGATTACTGTCGTTTTCAGACATTTATTCGGAGGGCGGTCGTCATTCTCCAACAGTCTACAGTTCGATTCCAGGCCAATAGATTTCAGAAGCCCTCCTTTTTGTTGTCTCCTGCCATTCCTTCCTACAGCGGAATCTTCTGAGTATGTTTTTTGTTTAATAGGCTAACGTCGGAGTAGCCTTTTTTTGATAATCTCCGTTTGAAGGAATGGAGTCTGAGGACTACGTTGTTCAAGGTTTTAAATCTGGTTATCAAAAGAAATGGGGCTTCCCTGTATCCTATATGAATACTGGGGCATAGGTAATGCGGTAATGTCTGGTTGAGCCGATTACGGCTGTAAATCAGATTCGCTTTTCTCCATAATCTTACAAGGTCTTCCACAATGTTCTAGATAGCATCAGACTTTGTAGAAAGTTGATGACGTTCTCTTCGGAACACCGTTTTCTGCCCCGAAGCCCTAGCTCACGATAAAAATGGTTTGTAGGATTTCTTCCAGAATGAATCTGCATCCTCCAAGANAAGCACATGGGCTGTTAAGTCGAAAAACGGTTTAGATAGAGCGTAATAAGAGAATACCGCAAAACTAGCCTGACCTTGTACGGTTAGGATATCTATCATACCTAAAGGCACGTTGCACGCATGCAGCTTACTGTACCCAGCTATACGCAAAGGTACACTCAATTGGACAGCTCGTCCAAATACCCCTTACATACGCTTTTGTTGTCACATTCTCGTCCAATCCTACTCTTTTTGGCGCTTGTATTCTCTGAGTACTCCGACTTTCGCGTTTTTTGGCCATTTCTGCACTATTCAGGATTATCCCTTCCATTATTAGGCCAAGACTAGACATCCCAAGGTTATCGTGACTTGAGTCTTTGATGGTAATATGCCTTCTTACAAGAAAGTCGCATTATCTTCGGGGGGCTCACCTATGTATTCTTTGAGATTTTCCGCCATCTCTAGCTCAACAGCTTTCGAGGAAATGCTCCTTTTACTTAAGGACCTTTCTGATTTGGCCACTATATCATTATACCTTCCTTTCAAACATCTTTTTCCCTGTTCCTTTGGATTGATTAGGATAGGAAGTTTCACGGTGCTTCAGCAAGATTTTCAGGAAAAATATAAGACGTCTGGAATGGCTGGTGCTCCAGGCGCCGGTAGTACGTGCTCTCATAATCGTCAGCGATATTATTGCTGTTGCTGAGATGAGAGAAGAGGCAAAGACGTAGGTCTTTCTCCAGAACTTCTCATTTAATTCTGGAGTTCTTCTTCTCACCCTTGAGGATCTGGATCTCAGTTTCTCATTTCAGGTTCCTTCGCTATTCAGACGTCTTCTCTGTCGGTTCACTGCTGCTCGCGATTTTCGGTGTGCACACGCTGGCACGAGTTACATCGGTCAGTTTGCTGATGTTCTACTACTAGCCCCAATAGGTCAACAGTGAAGGCCACTGTGAATTGTTTGCAGTCTACTTTCCGAGTAGTGCTCTAAAAAGATATTTATTCGTTGCGTCAGTAGACAAACATTTTTTGAATGAAGTAAACATCACCATCTGTTTCGTGAAGGATTTCCTCCGACATTCGCCATTTTTTGGGGATTAGAAACTAGGCAAGATTTGGTCCTCACGGCCAAGTATTTCACGAAATAACATATGTCACGATTTTTTTTTCAAAGGGAGAGTTCATACTGTCTTGCTCCAATTGTTAGGTTCTCCAGAGTGACATATCGGCAGGGAAAGGCGCGTAGTGCTTTCATGGCTCACCCTGAGTCTTAGGTCGGTCAGNTGGAGGTACCTTTCTACCTGATTTTGTCGGAGTAAAATACCTTCTAAGGGATTGGAAACAAACTTGTGCATCAGCCACCTTTTATAAGGCGAACTTCGGACCGATAACGATTTCATTCGTATCTTCCGTGATTTACTGCTCGGGTGAAGGTGTGTGCCGAGCTCTAAATCGGCTAACTTCTAAGCTGATTCCTTTCAGAGATCTCGTTTTGGGCAAACCTCCTAAAAAGCGCGAAATGGCCTGATATAACAATGTCAGAAAGCCCAAAAGAGTCTTCTGGCGTGAATCAATCCTGATTTGGGATGCGCTCCGCACTCGACGTCCATTCAAAAGTGCAGTGGTTTTAAGTACGTATATGATATATTATACAAATGGTACAAAAGTAAGCTTGAATCCTTCCAGACGGGCCTGATGCCAAATCGACTCAATGGTAGGTAAAATGGTAGATGGGATGGTAAAATTTGATGTTCTGGGCAAGAACAGATCCAAGATTTGATCCTTCCCCTTGTGGGATAGTGCGCCACTTTCCACTACACCACCTCCGTCCTATTTTTCTAATAGAATATGTAATGCTAGACAAAATTGTCTCTGTAGAGCTCATCAATTCGACTCGAAAAAACCACTTTCAGAACAAACTCTCCGAGTACTGCTTTATGACGGTATTCCGTTTCGTCGACATCTCGTTGCTCTTCTTCTCGGCCCAACAACCGATGCTCTTCCAAAATATCCTTCTCCGTTTCGATCTGATCACTTGTGGCCCTTTACTGACCGCTCAGGAAAATGCTACTTGTGAGTACATTCTTTATTGAAATAAGCCCTCAATGAATAGGTAATCTTTCAGTCGTGTGCAACTTTGTGATCATCTGTGAAATGTTCGTATTGTGCCTTCTGGCTACCGTACTACTGGCACCACGTCGAAATGCTTTGTTCGACAACTACCGTAGGCTGAAGACATCAGTACATGATGCGGAAGAAGCTGAGCTCAATCCGGATGATGTTGGCCTGGAGTTCGCACAGCGACCCTAAACAAAG